TAACCACTCCAACAGCTATCAAAATGCCTGAAGGCAAATCCTGAATCCATCACTCTAGAGTCCAGCCTTGGAAGACAAAAGAAAAATGAGGAGGAACCCAATAGAGGGATGCTTTTGGAAGCCCTTGTCAAGAAATGCCAATGGACTCTCATATGAACAATTGAAATTTGCCCTGTTCTGACTTTTTTCTAGTTCCCTGTTTAGAACTTGTAATGCTAATTACTCTTGCCTTTACTTCTCCTTTGCATCTCCTATTAATCAGTCAAGGATTTTCTTTTCCCCCTACAGATAAGAGTTATGTAAGTTGGGAGTCTTTGAGATAGACCCATTGAAGGGGTACCCCAATTGCCTCACCCTACATCCCTGTTCAGCATGGAAGAAGCCAGAGCAGTCTGCTTCCCAATTCCCTATTGGCAATTTGGGTAACCTCTTCGGAGGATGGTGTGATAAAAATAGGTAGGAATTGGCTAGGCAGTTAGGATAAAAAAGACCCCAAAGAAAAGTAGCCAGTTTCTTGGCTAAAAGTCAAAATGTCCTTGGGACTGTTAGCAATATACTCTGTTCCAAAGGCCAAACATGTCAAAAGTATTTTGGACCTTGTATCTAATCCTTAAATGATTTTTAGGGTTACCTCTTCAGAGGGGGGAATGTTAGAGTAGCCAAAATCCCCGTAAAAAAAATAAATCAAAGAAGAAGAAAGAGTACATGAAGTTATCAGAAAAAAGTGATGGGGAGATATAGGAGGAGTTGGAAAGGAGGGCGTGGACATGGTTTTGATCAAAACACCTTATATGCATTTATGAAATTCTCAATAATTTATTTTTAAAAAGAAAGAAGCTAGGTCGGGGATGTAGTTCATTTAATGGAGTGTTCACCCAGCATGCCAGAGACTCTCGGTTCAGTCCCCACCAGTATATGAAACTGAGCATGGTGGCACACATTTTTAATTCCAGAACTCGTTAAGGAATGTTAAGGCAAGAGGACCAGAAATTCAGGTTCATCCTCAGCTTTGTAGTGAGTTCAAGGCTAACCTGGAGACAGATTTTAAGGTTACTTCATCAGAGGGGGGAATGTTAGAGTAGCAAAAAGCCCCATAAAAAAAAGAAGAAAGAGTACATGAATTTATCAGAAAAAAAGTGATGGGGAGAAATGGGAGGAGTTGGAGGGGAGGGAGTGGGGATGGATTTGATCAAAACACCTTATATGCATGTATGAAATTCTCAACAAATTATTTTTTAAAAAATAAAGTACTGAAATGAACACAGCAAATTTTAAGGATTAAAGAGATTATTATTTACTTATTTGTGTGTGTTTGTGTGTGTTTGTTTGTGTGTGTGTGTGTGTGTGTGTGTGTACATGTGGTTATCATCAAAAGACAGAAGAGGGCATTTGATACCATCCCGTGGAGCTAGAGTTAGCAAGGTGTTTGGGAAGCACCTGATATGGGTGCTAGGAACCAAGCCCAGGTCCTCTGCAAGAGCAATAAATTCTCTTAACTTCTGAGCCATCTCTCTAGCCCCTCTATATGAATTTTTAGAAAAAATAAATAAAAAGTATGATGAATAAAAGTTCATTTAGTAATTAACTGTAAACACACAAGATAAGGGAATGTGTTTGGTAGTGGTTTCCATAGATATGTTAGAACCTTGACAGTCATTGTTAGAGCATTGCCTACCCTTTAAGTGGACAGCTGGGCTGTGTTAATCTATCTTACAAGGCTACAATCAACAAATCGTTCTGATACATAACACAGCTTATGTTTTTCAGTCAAAACTCAACTTCTTATCAGATAACCACCTGAAGGTAAGCAAAATATATAGTTATCTTCACTTTACAAGGAATTTGTAGACTTAATTTCAGGTGATTTCATTCCAGGCTATCCAGTAGAAGAACTGGAAATAATAGTATCATTAATCTTCTGATGCCTCAGGTCACATACACACAGCCTATAGGATCCCTCACCTAATATATAGGCTCTGAAGCCAGACTGCCTAGGATAACTTTGGTTATCCCACCTACCCTTCTTCCTCTTAAAGGAAGAACCTGTATGGTGCCAATTTATACAGAGCCTAAAATCAAGCTAGAAGCTCTGCCAATAATCAAGATACATGAATGGAATCGAGACAGTTTTTAATGAATGAAAGTAAAAAGACTATTTGTGAAGAGGAAGAGGACTGGTGGGAGGGAAGAGGGAAGAGATGAAAGGGTAATGGTGAGTGAATATGATCAAGGTACATTATATACATGTATTAAAGTATAACAATGAAACTCATTATTTTACACAATTAATACTCACTAATAAAAATGAATTAAAGAAAAAATAGACATGAGCTGCTACTAGCCTTGCCTCAAAGCAAGATAATCATTAGGGTTGGAGAGATGGCTCAGAAGTTAAGAGCACTGGCTGCTCTTGCAGAGGACCCAGGTTGGATTCTCAGCACCCACATGGTGACAAAATACCATCTGTAACTCCAGTTCCAGGGGATCCATCACCCTCTGCTGACCTCCTAGGGCATTTCACGACACAAGTGCACCTACCTACATGCAGGTAATACACTCATACACATAAAATAGAAAATAATATATTTTTTTAAAAGGGAGATAATCATGAAACCAAGACAATTAGGCTATGATCTTTCAGACTCCAGGTCTTATAAGTCTCATGAGCTAAACTAGAGCAAGGCTGGCTTTGATCACAGGTCATATACATGGTTTCTTGTTTGTCTGACAAAAGCCAGAGACATTCTCCAGTAGAGCGTTATAGATACTAATTTCCTAGAGAAAATTGTACTGTAAAAAATGCTATGAAATATGAGTCTCTATTTGAAAATGACAGTTCTCCAAAACAATGGATAGCTGGATGACTGAAAAACCCACTTAATTTTTCCACTAATAAGGTAGCACACAAATTCGTCAACAAATAGGCAAGACCTAGCTAGGTATCAACTGATGTCCTTCCCTAACCCTACTAGATCTTCCTGAAACTCTGGGCTCCAATAAAATTAAACATTATAGAAATGTAAGTCAACATAATAATGAGATACCATTTTACACTTACTGGAATAGTTAAAAACAATAAGCTTTGGTGAGGACATGGAGAAACTGGAACTCTCCAGCATTTGCTGGTGTCAATGTAAAATGCTGCAGCCATCTTGCCAAACAGTCTGAGAGTTCTTCAAATGGTTCAATGCAGTTGTATTATATGACAAAGAAATTACTCCTAGGTATATATCCCCCAAAAATGAACACATGTCTACATAGTTACACACAACTGTTTATCGCAGATTTATCTATAAGTCAAAAGATAGAAACAATCTAAACATCCATCAGCTGATGAGTATATGAATAAAATATATCTACTATTTTTCAGTCATAAAAAGGAATGAAGTATTAGTACATGCCACAACATGGAGCCTTGAAGTAGCTGCCTAGATAAGCTTTTACTTAAGCTGTCACTTCCAAATTTGGATGTACATTAAAGTCATCTAAGAAACTGATGCAATGCCCTTGGAATCTCTGATAGTGAAAACACCTGAACTGATATCTGAAATTCATTAGTCTTGGTGATGTCTAATGTCCCTTACAGCTCCTAGGAACTCTATAATATCCATGCTGATGAGTTACCAACACCTCTACTTTTGAAGCTGAGGCAATAACAGAACAAAGTCCAATAGATAATTGTTCTACAGAACATGTCTTCCAATAGTCAGTCTTTCATTAAACTAAGATAGTTCTTTTCCAAGGGATCATTCCACCCTTTTCCAAAGACTGAGTGAAGATATTACTAGTAGAGACAAGCTATAGCTAAAAGAATAGAATTCATCTCATTGTGTCTGTGTGGGATGCTTTAACAATGTTACCCTATTTTGTAGGAAACTACATATTAACATAAAACTTGTCACTAGAGTTAAGAATAACCAGTCTATGTCATTTACAGATTGGGCTGGGTTGAACGATGCAATGAAATTCTAACACTCACAGATTTTCTGTTTATCAGCATCTATTTAGTTATTAGTTGACTTAGTTCACAATAGGTGTGATTTCTCATTTACCTTCTTCCCTTAATAGTTAAGAACCAAGTTAAACCATGTTCCGCCTTTTGACCTCCTGCTGGTCTCAACCAAAGACCACAGAAGAAAAACAAAGGTAAAGTTAGAACTACTTTTCGGTACCCAATCTGCAATTTCCTCCCATGGATCTGCTCAAAGCTTCACAAGGGACAAATGGTCATGATATATTTGGGGGAAATGGTTAAATAGGGAGTACAAAATTTAGAACAAAGTTGAGAGAGGATGGCTATTTTACAATGTAAGTGAATCAGGGAGGAAAAGCATCTATGGAGGTTTTGGGAGGGGCTGCCCTTATCATACATGCATTGAGACTACTGCAGACAAAGCTTCAAGCACTGAGAAAGAATAAAATTATTTAGTCTAAAGATTTAGGGGTTTATGGCTTTGACTAGCTTTTTTTTTTCCTCTTCCAGGAAAGTGACTGTCATTGTCATTGGCTTGGACAACTCAGGCAAAAGTCATCTTGTGGCAGCCTTTCAAAGATGTGAGGAACTAAGAGCATTAGATACTGGTGTGGATCTTCCAGGGTTCGAGGAAATATTTATTCCATCCTAGCCTTACTTCCTGGCCCTCAGTTTCTCTCATTTAAAGATAACCCTTCCCCCATTAGTTATTATCAAGTTGTTTATGTAGTATCTTTTACTTGTTCCCTTTATAAAATATCCTAAAGAAAAGTCCTCTTGTGATATCAATATGAATGATCTTAAACTTTGTAAAGCCCTGTAGTCAATTATGAAGGATAGCATATTTGAAACCCTGTCTAGTTCCAGAGCTCAATTAATGTGGAATTTGGTCTAGATAAGAAACAAGTGTGGGATGATAAGGAAGTTTAATAACACAAAACTCTGTGACAGCTAATATTGAGAGTCAGAGTTTAAGAAATGTTGTCAGTTTAATACCACATCTCCAATTTAATCCTTTGACATTTCCAGAAGCAGTTAAACAGCATTGGACAAAGCTGCTATACTAGCTGTGAAGACCCAGCTAACTGTTAGTCAGGGGCCAGTGTCTGGCTCTCCATTAATGTTTAACAAATCAATATAGGAGTATGATGGCATGGTTAATTTCTATATAACCTGGCAACCCTCAGCAAAGTATGGGAATTGTTTACTCTGAAATCTCTGCTCCTGGTCTACTTGTAGTTCTTTCAATTTCCTTGAACAACAGAGGCCTTTTGATTGATCTGGTCATCTCCGGTTGTCCCTGTAATTATCAGAGAGACCTATGAAAAACCTAATCATGGCACTTCCCTGCTCAGTATTGCTCCACATCTCCCTATTGTCTTTGAAGCAAAATTTACCTTCCTTAGCAGCATACAAGGTCTTGATTTGGGTCAACTACTCCTCCAGCCTTATCTCACATGTTCCCCATATATGTCCTCTGATACAAGTGAAACAAATGCTTTGTTACTCCTCCGCCACACCTGTGCACTTCACGAAGGCCAGTACCCGGCATTTCATCCCTCTGCCATCTACTTAATCAAGCACCTCAATTCAGAACTTGGCCACAGGAAAGACATCCTTAACTCCCTGCATCACATTCCCTAGTCACACTCTAGCCCATATAGCCCTCTAACATGCACTTTTCCCAAGATCCTTGCATAACTATGAGTCTACCCTTAAACTGAGAGCTCCTTGAGAAGAAATAGATCTTTTCATCTCTGCATCAGATAGGCACTCAGTAATTGTTTATAGAATGAAAGTTCTCTACCACTGCCCTAAAACTACATGTTGCCTTTTTACAACTTCATCTGCCCTAATAGAAGCTCCAAGCACATTTTAGCCAATGTTTCAGCCTAGCATGCCCACTTAGATGCAGCAAACCTGATTCCTCACAGCTCTCAATTCTGATAGGCAGGAATGATAAGGAGGTAAACAGCAACAGGTAAGTCAAAGAACCAAGATTAGTCACAAGATTACTGACAAACCTGAAGATAATTTTGTAGAGCTTCGACTCTGCCTCAGCCCTGGATTCCTATTCAGGAATCCAGGAACCCACAATCTTAAAAACTTCCTGGGTGTTTCTGATTGGTTAGTCAGCAGTGAGAACACATCTGAAATTAGCCACTGCTATTAGTTTGTGAGAATAGTGTCTGTTTTCCATTCTGATTCCTGGAGCAGTATTTGGCATGTGCACATTTTGTCACTACATAACTTGCCTTGTGCTCAGTGAATAACTTGGGGCTGCTCCATAAATGCATTGATTTATGGCAATGACTTCATTAACAATTTAATGGGTGCTGATGTTACAGTCTCAAGAATTCTCAGGCCACCTCTGTTCATGTAGGACCACTAAGAGTCAATCTAGTAGGTTGTTCTGTACTCAAAGTCGAATAGCTCACATAAGTGGTTTTAATATGAATGCAACAGTTGTCTAGAAAAGGAATTCCAGTCTACAGTTAGTAGCTTCTATGGACATTTAAAGATACTAGCTACAAAAGAGTTTGGCATACAACCCATCATTACTAATGACACTTTTCACTATAACTGTTTTTGGATGGCATGGTCACAGGGGCAAGAAATCCAAACATGAGCACAGACTGGTGCCCTAAGTGGGGACATTTAGATCAGTGCCTCTTAAATGTGGATATAAATTCTAATCACCTGGGTGCTCCAGGAAAATAAAAACCAAATACTTGAGCACCACCTAGATCTATGTAATCAAATTCTTAGAGAATGAGGCCTAGGGTTGTTTAAATGCACCACAGGGCATCTTGGAAAACAATGAATGCTGATCAAAAGTCACCTGGCAGTCAAACCACTTGACCCTGCACCTGGAAGCTCAGCTATTTCAATGTGGAGAGAGCCTATGCTCCTCAGGTTCACCAGATGATGCTGAAACACACACACACACATAAGTTTGATGGCTGTCTAGAGCAGTGATTCTCAAACTTCCAAGTGCAGAAGAATCACCTTAGGATCTTGTTAACTACAGGAAGTTTCTTACACATAAAAATGCTTCCATGGCTGGAGAGATGGCTCAGAGGTTAAGAGCACTGACTGCCCTTGCAGAGGACCCGGGTTCAATTCCCAGCACCTACAAACTGTCCTTAACTCCAGTTCCAGGGGAATCCAAAGCCCTCCTCTGACCTCTGTGGCATTGCACGACACAAGTGCACTCACATACATGCAGGCTCATACTCATACATACTCATACACATAAAAATAATAAATATTTTAAAAAATGTTTCCATTCCAGCTGGGCGTGGTGGCGCACGCCTTTAATCCCAGCACTTGGGAGGCAGAGGCAGGCAGATCTCTGTGAGTTCAAGGCCAGCCTGGTCTACATAGTGAGTTCCAGGACAGCTGGGGCTACAGGGAGACCCTGTCTCAAAAAGACAAAAAAAATGTTTCCATTCCAACAATTCTGAGTCATTTGGTCCAGGGTGGGGGTTAATAAGCACATTCATGAAACTCAGAAGCACACGATCCAATCCCCAAACCATACTTCATGAAACGCTCAGCCAGGGATATAGAGATGAATGAGCATGAGTGCCTATCCTTAAGGTGTTTATAAATTACTAGAGAAAATAAGGTAAATGCAAATTAACAGGGAACAACTTCATGAGGTGTCTAGTATCATCAGCAATAGACTGCATTAGTGAAGGAATTGGTTTCAAGTTAAAAAAAAAAAGGAATGGTGTTTTTCTCTAACAGGCCAAATAAATAAATAAATAACATAAAGTTTCTTTTTTTTTTTTTAGAAGTATTTCATTACAACAGCATTGACATATTCAATAACAATTTCCAGAGCTAAGATGCATCTCTTTCAAAATTGGCTGTAAATTTTTAGGTTTACAGTTGAATTATTACAGTTATACAATATTGTACTCAGTATAAACCCTGTAAGACATAAAATTAAATGAGGTTTTAACCTTTTAAAAAGATCTCCATTTCATTATTAAAATACAGTTTCATACAGAAAAATCCATTTTTAATGCAATTGACATTAAGATGTTTGCACAGGCATTTCTAATCTCTACATATCTGATTATTACTAGTCACGGTTACTTTCTGAGCTTCTTTCTAATCCTCAAAAGATTTTAGGGTTAACTCTTCAGAGGGGGGAATGTTGGAGGAGAGGGAGTGGGCACGGATTTGATCAAAATACTGTATATACATGTATGAAATTCTCAATAAAGTTTTTGTAAAAGTTATAAAAAATGAACTTGAAAAAATGTAGTAATCAGCATATTTTAAAATGAAATGGAGATCTTCTTTAAAGGGTTAAAAACTCATTCAATTTTATGTTTTACAGGCTTTATACTGAGTTCAATATTGTATAGCTGTATTAATTCAACTGTGAACCTAGAAACTTGCACCCATAAAGCTTCTTGAAATGTAGAAAACAAGATTTTTAAATTATCTTTTGGAGTTTTTAAATTTTAAGATTTATTTTTTATGAGTGTTTTACCTGCATGTAAGTGTACCATGTGTATGCAGTGCCCGTGGAGGCCAGAAGAGGGCATCAGAAGCCCTAGAACTGGAGTTACAGCCAGTTGTCAGCCACCATGTGGGTGCTGAGAACTGAACCCGGGTCCTCTGCAAGAGAAGCAGGTGCTCTTAACCACTGGGCCATCTCTCTAGCCCTACCTTTTGAAATTTTAAACTATTCACTTATCTTCAAGTATGTAATATAGACATAGCAAATATCACATCAAAGTTGTGACTAAAATTTATGTCTTCTGGGGCTGGAGACATGTCTCAGCAGTTAAGAGCATTGGCTGCTCTTGCAGAGGACCTGGGTTCAATTCCCAGCACCAACGTGGAAACTAACAACCATCTATAACTCCAATTCCAGGGGATCCAGTGCCCTCTTCTGACCTCCATGGGCATTTCATGACACACGTGCACCTACTTACATGCAACCATATACTCAGACATAAAAAATAATAAATAAATTTATATGTCTTCTGAAAGCTATAATTTTAAAAGATGGGCTGGTGAGATGGCTCAATGAGCAAAATCACTTGCTGCCAAGCCTGACAACCTGAGTTCAATCCCCAAGACCCAAATAGTAGAAAGATAGAACTGACTTCTCCAAGTTTTCTTCTGACTTACACACACAGACACAGACATACACACACACACACACACACACACACACACAAATAACAAAAAAGATCACTGACTAACATAAAAACAGAAGTGTTATAAAATCACATTAAAATGTAATGGCAATATTATACACATATACATGTATATTCATAAATGCATATGAACAAATGTTTCTAAATATTTGAAAGCATATTACTAATTTAGCCTAAAGATTTATTTTGTCAATCCTAAGGAAAATGTCACAGATCTAAGACTATAAATAAGAAGTTACTGATTCTAGTCTTAGTATTTCCAATTATGGGCCTCAAGAATCTATGAAATCAGCAGTTAAGAGCACTGGCTGCTCTTGCAGAGGACCCAGGTTTGGTCCCCAGCACCACATAAGAGCTACCAACAGTCTGACACCCTCTTCTGGCCTCTGACACCCTGTTCTGGCCTCTGTGGCCATAGCACAACACAGGTGCACTTACATACATGGAAGCAAAACACTCAGACACATAAAATTTAAAAAAGAATCTATGAAATCATTAACTGATGAGAGCAGATACTTTGGCCATAACTGGGATGCATGTAAGGACTGTTGTAAAATGCATTTCTATGTGGGCCAAGTTAGGTACATAGTTCCTTAGGGGATTTTCAGTTCTAGACATGGCTTTTAAATGGAAAACATGCCTCCCTGAGTTCCTCCTCCCCCTCCCCCCTTCCCCTCCCCCTCCTCCTCTTTGGTCTTGTTTTGTTTTGAGACAGGATCTTCCTCCTCCTCTTCTTCTTTGGTCTTGTTTTGTTTTGTTTGAGACAGGGTCTTCCTGCAGCCCTAGCTGGCCTGGAACTTGCTATGTAGACCAGGCTGGCCTCAATATTACACAGTGCTGGGATTAAAGGTGTGTGTCATCATGCCCAGCCCAGGTATAGTTTCTTGGAAGAGATATGCAACACAATACTTTCTGTCCTCATTCATTTTAATGGACACTGTAAGCACTTACTGAACTCCTACTCTAAGGTAAACAAAGCACAGAAATAGGTAGAGAACTAGTTCAACAATGTGCTGAGAGGGAATGGTAAGAGGTGCTCAGGTCAGAGAAGGCTTTCTAAAGAATGTGGCAGTTGGGCCTTAAAGAAAAGGTAGAAGAGAAAGGCCTGCTATTCATTCATTCATCAAATATTTATTGAGTGCCTGTATGCCAGCATCTGCTCAGCTTCATGAATATAATGAATAAAATGAAAAGAGTTCACCTTCCTGTTGCAGTTTATAACTCAGTCAACAATCGAATCTGTAACACTATGTGCTATAATAATGGTAAAACAGAAAAAAGGCACCTTATACAGAATGGGGATGGTGGTTAAGAGAAATTTTCTACAACAAACAATATCTAAATCAGTATTTTATAAAACAGGCATGGACCAAACATAGAATAGCAGAGGGAAGTCAGCTCGTATGGCAGCCCAGGGCATGTATGTAGATGAGTGGGGTGACCAGAGGGAGGAACACCTAGGTAGGAACCAAGGACACCATGGCCACCATTCAGATTAGTCCCTGAGGCTATGAAACAGGAGGGGTAGCATAGAAAGATGAGTAAGCTTCCATGAGTAAGAGCAAGGAGGCAGGCTGCTTCAGAAGTAGTTCTCAGAGCAGGCTCTGGGCAAAGATGAACAAATTGATCTAACTGCATCTCTCCACTTTGTGGTTGCTTCTCCTTCTACCTCTATGTGTAGTAATTCCCAGCAAGATCCACAGTAATATGAAACCAACACTGACTACACTTCTATTAGATGATTATCAAGTATCTGTCTATGACCTGACTGGAGACCTAAAAGGCCAAGAAAAATGGCCAAGCTACTATGCTGAGGCACACGGGCTTGTCTTTGTTGTGGATTCCAGCGACATAGAATGTATATGGGAAGTGAAGATCATCTTAACACGCCTGATGTTTGATAAAAGAGTATCAGGGAAACCCATCTTAATGTAAGTTTCTGCGTTTGAGTCCTACTTTCTCATCCCAATTTGTACCTTAAGAAAGGTATGAAGATGAAAGGCTGTGAGGTCTTTTTGTCACAGGGAACTAGACCTTCTTGTCCCTTAGGCTCAGTGAGGTTTGGCCCCGCTTGCTGGGGACTGTTTTCAAGGGCCACTTTCTACCACACACTATTATGTGGGACATGTTACCTAATTGTATAAAGGTACTTTTGAGACCCCATCAAAGAGAAATAATAGCAAGCTCTCCCATTCCCAACCCTGGATTCTTCCTAACGACTCTTTTCCTGATTTTGCTCCTCTTTTCTGGTTTCAGTTTTTGATCTTGAAACTTCATGGTGGTAGAGAACAAACCCTAATTTGTCTAATCAGTTCCAATGGTCTCCTCCCTTAGCAGGTTGCTGAAGACATATAACTGGTACTCATTTTAGGGAGATAATTCAGATAGCCTGTCACTCCTCACCCCTTCTCACTCCCTTTGACCTTTCAATCCTCATTAGCAACCCCAACTAGAGCATGAACAGAGTTTGGGAGATGTAAAAAGCCTACATCTGTTCATATCCCAATTAGCAATTCTAATTAAAGTGTGAGGCATGATGTAGGAGAAGTGGGAAGTGGGCCCTGAGGATTATCTTGGATTCAAATAATTTGCACTATTCTTTCCTCCACTGAGAGTTGGCTAGAAAACTGTCTGGCACATCTGAGTATGTCTTTAAGTCTAATTCCTGGATATATAGTACTTGTACTACAATTAGTGCTTCCCTTCCCTCTGACTTTACCTGGGTTTCATTCTTCTTGTCTGTTTCCCTCTCTCATATGTTGTTCTAGCCTGGCAAACAAACAAGACAAAAAGGACGCCCTCTCGCCTCGTGATATCATTGAATATCTACTTCTGGAAAGGCTAGTGAATGAAACTAATTCCACATGCTGAGTGGTAAGTGTGAGCTCTTCATTTCTTTTCCTCTAGAGCCTGGCTAATGCAACCCTAGCCCTGTACATCATCAGTCTCATGTTGGATTTAGGGCCAAGTCCCTCCCTGACAAGCAACATCTGCAGTGATGATTTTTAACTTGAAAATGATAACAAATATTACACTCTGCCTTCAAAGTGGTTCTGTAAAATTTTAATATCCACAAAGCTAAGTGCTCAGAAACTCTCAATGACTTGCTTGAGGTCTCACAATGAAGACCTCACAGCCACTTTAATTAAAGGGCCTCAATTTCTGTGTTCTTCATCCACTTTCTCAGATGTGAATACTGTGTGTCTCTTTGGAAGCCTAGAACCTCTAGGCACAGCACGTGTATCTACCTCTGCTATTTAGATGATAGTGATCAGGCCTGTAGGCCCCAAACATCCAGGGCCCTAGATCTGAGGCCTTCTTTGTTCATTTTTGTTACAGGAGCCATGTTCAACCAAAAGACATTTCCCAAAGAGACACCATCAGTCAATAATTATAGGGCTGTGTTGGCTATTGGCTGCTATTGGTAATCAGTATCAAGAACTGTATACACACCAACAAGCACCAACTATGAGCATCTCAACCTACAAGCACATCCGCGGCTGTGGGGAAAGATGCTCATTAGACAGGTAGTGAATTTCCTTCATTAGATTTACTGATAAGAATAGAAGCAAGGGGGCTAAAGAGATGGCTCGGCAGTTAAGTGCACTGACTGCTCTTGCAGAGGACCCAGGTTCGATTCCCAGCACCCACATGGCGGCTATGAACCATCCTTAACTCCAGTTCCAGAGGAATCTAAAGCTCTCTTCTGACCTCTGCGGCACTGCACGACACGGGTGCACTCACATACATTCAGGCAATACACTCATACACATAAAATAAAAATAATAAATAAAATACTTTTTAAAAAAGAATAGAAGCAAGAATCAATCTTCAACATGAGCAGTGAGTTCTAGGAGGTGCTTGAATTCTGGGCAGCACTAAGGAAGTCATCAGAATGTGATATCCCAACTGGGGACATGGTAGTGACCACCAACACTGTTAGGTACACTACCACTCCTGACACAACTTCAGCTGTCACATCTGTGGGATGAATAACATAAAAGTAACAGCAATCTATTAGCAGTAGAGCTTCTTAAAACAGGGCTTCTGCTCTGAGTTGCCATGTGGAGGAGAAAAAGGAACATGTTCTCCTTAAGGAGCCTATTGACGTTATTCTACAGATGAATGTCTCAGTGTTGCTCCAGATTCTCAGCCTCCAGTTCTCTGATCTTCCCAATCACGGAATGATGGGAGAAGACAGGAATGCTGAAAAAACAAAAAGAAAAGAGGAGGTGATCAGAATTTTGAGGAATAAAAGGCCTAAATGTTCTCTTGCTCTGTTGTCACTTTCATTGCTCAAAGGCATACGGCAGGTACGGGGTAGTGGTTGCATAAGATTGAAGGCTGGAGACATAGCTCACTGGCAGAACACTTGCCTAGCATGTGTAAGGTCCTGAGTTCAATCCCCAGTACAAAAAAAGAGAGAAAAAGCTTGAAATATATCTGTTTCTACTATCGCTTTGTCCTTTCAAACTTTCCTAGCTTAGCTACCAGACAGGGAATGTTCAAAGACAACAACAGACAGCATTTTGAGAAAAGACAATATTTGGAACACGGACAACATGTTGAGCAAAGACACTTTGAGAAAAGAAAGCATTTTGAGTCAAGGCAGCATTTAATACAACATTCCTTGGATGCTAGGCCCCTAAAGCCAATCCTTCAGGTAAATGGCTCTTTAAATGTTATTTTCCAGGGTCAATAACTGAACTCTTAAGAACTAGTAGACAATTTCCCCTTTCTTGCTATACAGAAAGACGGTCTGCGAATAAGGCCCAAAAAGAATATGTCAGTAACATTTGCTCTAGATGTAATCATGGAGGAAGGTGAATGTTCTCAAAAGAATGGAGCACACAATACCACTAAGTCTTATAACAATCAGAGTTATGACACATAAGCTCCAGATCCATTTGATGACAATCTTTTCAAAGGTAATGTTGAATCATTGGTTAAAGAAGAAAAGATATATAGGCCTTCCTTCACATTTTCTATAATGGGATTCCTGTTTTGAGCATAAAACTCCTTTTCCACTATGGTTTATAGTTGGGAGACATATGCAACAAAGCTTGGGGACTGCTTTCTGGCAGGGCACCATTCCCCAGAATTAGTTGACACAAGATCTTTTGATGGCTATTGGGATATGGTATGCTTGCCAGTGGTAGAAAACCAAATTTGATATAAGGGGCTGGAGAGATGGCTCAGAGGTTAAGAGGACCCAGGTTAAGAGGGCAGAGGACCCAGGTTTGGTTCCCGGCACCCACATGGTGGCTAACAACTGTCTCTAACTCTAGCTCTAACTCTGACCTCTGTGGGCATTTCACAACATGGTTGTACTTACATACATGCAGGCAATACAGGAATACACATAAAAATAAAAAATTAAATATTTTAAAAAACAAATTTGGTGTAACCTTTATAAAGGATAGGTTGGCTGTCCCTTTCTCTCTTCCCCGCCTTTTCTTAACATATATTACGAACTTTAAAAATGTGGAAGCCTTTGAGCTAGAGTCTCATTTCTGAGCTGTCTCCAAAAATGATTACATGAGTACACAAAAAGTTTATTAAAGACTTTTCAATTATAGCCTTCTGCACAGAGCTAAATGTTGGAATCAATATAAATGTCCAATGATAGGGACAGCTAAATAATTTAAGATGTATCTACACTATGGAGACACTGAACTTGCTAAAGATGGGGGAGAAGGGAGATGACTCAGTATGTAAAGTACCTGCCATACAATCATGAATACGTGCGTTTTGATCACTTGCACCCACATAAAAGTGGGACTTGATTGTGCATAAATGCAACCCTAGCCCAGGGGTGGGGGGTGTAGAGACAGAAGCATCCCTAGAGCTTGTGGGCCAACCACTGAGTTCTAGGTTCAGTGAGAGACCCTGTCTCACAAAACAACATAGAGATTCTTATATTAAACCTCACCCACCCATGGCTCAGGGACCATTGTAGAAGAGGGGGCAGAAAGATTGTAAGAGCCAGGGCTGGTTCATGAACACAAGAAACCAGGCTTTCAGGACACTGAGAACTTATTCATATGAACTTGCAACAATGGTGACAGCAAGCACAAGACCTGCACCTACTCAATCAGACTAAAACCCATCATAGAACCAGGGCAATGGACAGCAGGCCCCAACCATAGTCCAGAAACTGTTGACAAGTGATTACAGCTGGGTGAGGGAGCGTAGATCTTCTTTAAGGTAGAGAAGAATCTCTAGATAGGCTGACCAGACTCCAGTAGATAAATTTGCACTGAAGGTCATCTGCATACAAATGTTTGACCAGAAAGGACTTAACATATTTGACAGAATGCATGAAATATGGTGGAGGAGGGGTGCTATGGGGGTTGTGGATAGGGAAGGAGGTCTAAATTTGATTAAGATCTATTATATGAAATGCACAAAAACTCAATCAAAAATATTAAAAATAATAGCGGAATGTCAGCAATAGCAGAAGATACCCAATGCCAACTTCAGGCATCCATACTCAAATGTGCACACACACACACACAATCTCTGTATCTGTATCTATCATCTATCATCTATCTATAATCTATATCTATCTATCCATCCATCCATCCATCCATCCATGTATATGTGACAAAAAATAAAAGCTAATGATTATTTTCTTCCATTTACTGACATGGAAAGTCTTCCACCACTTGCCATTTTGTTAGAGAAAATAGCAAGTTAGAATACAATATGTAGGGGCTAGAGAGATGGCTCAGTGGTTAAGAACATTAGCTGCTCTTGCAGAGGACCTGGGTTCAGTAACTCCAATTCTAGAGGGTCTGACACCCTCTTCTGGCCTTGGTGGGCATTGCATGTGTGTGGCACACTTAACATACATGCATACAAAACATTCATATATGTAAAATAAAAATAAGTTAAAGCCGGGAGTGGTGGTGCACACCTTTAATCCCAGCACTCTGGAGGCAGAGGCAGGCGGATCTCTGTGAGATCCAGCCTGGTTTGAAGCAGGGTCTCCCTGTAGCCCCAGCTGTCCTGGAACTCACTATGTAGACCAGGCTGGTCTTGAACTCACAGAGATCTGCCTGCCTCTGCCTCTCAAGTGCTGGGACTACAGGCATGCGCCACCATGCCCGGCTAAAACTGTAGTTTAAAAATATTCTTTCAGGTAATTCATAAACAAATCACTGAGAGAAACCAAATTTAGAGAAAGGCTAGAGACAAAGGGAAGCAGAAAGGTCATGGACTAAAAGAGTAGTGGGATTAGTAAGATACTTTCAAAATTATAGACATCAGAGGCTGGAGGGATGGTTCAGTGATTAAGAGCCTATACTGCTCTTGCAGAGGACTAGAGTTTGGTACCTAGCACCCATGTCGGACAGTTCACAACCATGTGTAACTTTAGCTCCAGGGGATCTGACATCCTCTTCTGACCTCCACAGACACTGCATGCAACATGCAGGTAAATCCCTCAAACACATAAAATAAAAATAAATATTAAAAAGAATATAGCATGTACAGCATAAAGTGTATATATGCCAAGAGATATGGTACTGTTAACACCAAAATGTAAGCAGTAGTTTTCTCTAGGTATGAGCTATTACAATGATGTTGAAAAATAAGACTTGAATGCCTTTGCTTGTTGTTTTGTTGTTTTAGAAGGCATTTCCTTTCTTATAATACTCTGATGCCATTTATCCCAAATGGAGTAAAGGCAGTTTTACAAAGCTGAGAGGGCCTGAGGCTCACTATTGGTAATGGCTGTTCCTTCTGAGTTCCGAGTACTCCTCAGGGACCCATTCTTCAAGACTGTCAACTGTCAATATCATGGTTCCTCGGGCTGGGCAGTTATATACTTGGCCAGAGCCAATAAGGAGAAAATAGGCACAGGCCCTGGGATAAGGGGTGGGGATAAGAGCTGACTAGAAGGAATTGGTAGAAAAAGAGTGTGTCCTTCTAAATGTCATCAACTACCCCTAAATCTTTACCTATAATCAAAATGCATCGTCATTTCTATAGCCTCAGCCCATAGGCCAAAGAAGAGAATGGACACCCGGCACACAGAAGAAATGCTATTGGAAGATCGTGTGGTAAAGCCTTCCATTCCTGTGGTTAGTACTCTTTAAAGAGAGGGTGGCTGTGTAGTAGAGTCTCTTGGAAATGGACAGCACCCTTCTACCCAAAGTAGTCTGGGAAGGAATGGAAACCTGGGACCTGGCTTCACTTGCAAAATGACTGGCTGTTTTCTTTATCTGCTTTAGATTTAACAGATCACTAAAGAAAGAATGGCGGGAAAGCAAAAGAATCATCTCCTCTACCATCTCTCAGCAAGTGCGCTCATCTCCAGAACCAGCATGAAGACTCAAGTCTTTGACTTTTATTTGATAATGCCTGTACAACCCACATACAAGTCCGCTATTCTAACACCACATCTTTGAGAACCACCGTTTCTACACATCTCTGTGGTAGCCAGCAAATTCATCCCAACCCCACAGGAAGGCTCAAGAAGTTAGGTGCCATCTACCTCAGCAAAGAGGAACAGAGACTTTCCATCTAAACTGATACTCCTGACAAAGCTTATGGATAAGATATTATGAATGGAAACTGAGCCTTAGAATTACACAGTTACTTTAGAATCACACCTTTCTCTTTAAGGTTCTCAAGTAAAAAGGGACTGGCAAAATAAATAAGAATTACATTCTACTCTATCATTTTTACTCAGACCTCCAAAAACAAGTCTGTTTTAAAGTCCTAGCCACTGTCTGGAAAGCCCAACAATTGCTTTGCTGTCTCTTCAGGAACAACAATGGCTGCCTGTCAACACTTGAGTGCACTGGTCCCTCTACTCTCAGGATCCTATGGTTGAAATGGTAGCATTTCTTTACTAGCACTGCTACTATCCTTTTTACCACAGGCCCCATTTATTGAGTGCCTTCTGGATACCAGGCACAGTGCTAAGTTCTTTCCATCTACTTACTGTCTTATTCATAACCTTCCAGGGCAGGCATTATACTTGACATCATTTTCCAAGTGAGGATACTGTAAAAAGCAGAGCAAGGTATTGAATCCAAACTGTCTGATGAGAGCTAGTATAGGCCAAAAAGATCCACACATGCCTTCCTCCAGAAAGAGAAATCTATAGTCAGGAACTAATGCTGAAGTGTATCCATGCACACATGAGGAGAACTCAGTCAATATCCGCATGCTGACAGCACTAGCAGACATGGTTGATTGAGCACTTCCATCTTGTCAGGTTCTGTGCTAACTACTTTACATATATTATTGCCTTTCATCAGAAGTCTATGCTGTCTGTTCTATTACCACCATCTTATAGGGGCAGAAACTGATGTTCAGAGAAATAAGATGATTTGTCCCTGAGCATGCACTAGGAGGTGGCAGAACAGGTTTTTAAACTAAAGTCCAATGCCAGAGGAGCTGGAGAGATAATTCAGTGAATAAGAGTTCTTGCTGCACAAGCATGAGGACTTGAGTTTGGTTCCAGCACCCACATAAATCACAATGTGACCATGCACACACCTGCAATTCTAACACAACAGAGGCAGAGACAAGAGGATCACTGGGGCTTATTGGCTGTGTACTTGCTCCAGGTTGAGTGAGAACTCTGTCTCAAGGGTAATACAACTGAGAATGATAGAGCAGGGCCTCCATATGCCTGCACACACACACCCCCACATGCACACACAGCACAAACATACACATAAAAATATGTATATAAAGTCTAGCTCCACAACCCAAGTTGTTACCTCTACCCTATACTACTTCACCAAACACTATTAGCTAAGCAACCCATCATTTGAGGGATAGTTAGAACCTTGCCTAGAAGGTACGGCATTTACCTGAGGCTGCATCATCTGTTCTTCTGTTCAAGGGAATCACTTTAAGTGCCTTATGAGTCTTTTGTAGGCTTGGAACCTCAGCTTGTTAGTCATGGAGCTGAGAAACTTATAGACGCTCTAGTCCAATCCATGTTACACAGACGAGGAAATGACATGACCAAGATGGTATGTCCGGCCACTGGTAAAGATGCTCTCTGAATCCCCAGTACCTGTGTATCAACCCTGAATCTTCCTGGAGTCATTTTGGCTTCTTGCTCCATCTACTTTCCTCTACTTTGCCTAATAGGAAATTTCGCAGTCCAACAGCCTCACCCTTGGAAGCAGCAAATGCCTCTACTGAAGAGTTTTAGGGCTGGGGCTGCACAGTGGTACAACACTTTTCTAGCATGTACAAGGCAACAAGTTTAATCACCACCACAGAACAAAGTTTATCAGACACGAAACTATAATCGACCATGGTTTTTAAGAAAATTGATCATCCACACACAATTTTCTTTATGGCATGTATTTATGATGCAGGTACACTTTTTTACCCAGCAGAGCATAGGACTGTAAGCAGGCCTATGAATATGAGCAGGCTAGAGAATTTAGGTTGAACAACCTCTAAGGAAACTGAATTTCATCTGGGGATGTAGCATAGTTGGTAGAGTGCTTTCCTAGCCTGCACAAAGCCCTGGGTTCTATTGCCAGCACTGCATAAATGGGGCATGGTGGTGCACACCTGGCATACCAGAAATTAGGAGGTAGAGACTGATAAATCAAAGTGCCAGTTTACCCTCAGCTACATAGCAAATCCAAGGCTAGCCTTGAATAAGAGACACTTTCTCAAAAATTAAAAACTAACCCTGAATTTCAGCCTACTGCCACATCTCCTTTTGTGCAATGGATATGTTCTGGATGACAACAAAATTTTTCTAAATAGAATCTAAAGGGTTTAAAAAAAAAAAAAACTTTATGCTCTACTTCCCTGGGCCTGCAGGACCCGCAGACCTCTCTCTCCGGTTAAGTCGATCGTGCCCTCTGAGCCTTAACTCCCCCAGCGCCTTGACTCCCCCAGCCTCATTCACCCTCCATCTCCCCTGCCTGTCTCTCCTCCTAGCCTGGGTCCTGTCCCATTGCTTGCCTTTGCGCCCCAGAAATCTGGGGAACCACCACTGCTTCCTGATCCTTTGCATCCAGAGCAACTCAGTTCCTTCTCGGGTCCCCAGGAGCACTGCTTCTGGGCCTGGCCCCGCCCTCACCTCCCTCTGTTTCCCTGGGTCTGCACAACCCACCAGCCTCTTTCCTGGACCCCTGGCTGACCTTTCCTCTTCCTGGTCCTTTGCATCCAGACCAACCCAGCTCCTCAGTGCAGTCCCAACGGGCCCTTGGGGCCACTTCCAGCCCACATCTTCCTTGGCATCACTGGGTAGTACAGCCACCAGTTGCCCTAGACCAGCATCTTTCCTGGGCCCGGCTCCCAGGCCAGTCCAACCCCCAAATTCCTGAGGCCAAAATTTTTCCGGGAGGGATCCAGATCTTAGGAGAAAGCCCGAGAGCATCTGATCCTCATCTGACTTGGGCCTCTTTGGGAACTCCTGAAGACAAAAGCAATCTGACCACTCCAATATAAAATCAAAAGAGAGAACCAGTAGCTAAGACAAGCTAGCTTTTCATGCTCAAAAAGTAAACCACAAAGACATATAAAGTTCACAAGAAAGTAGACCTAAACTTGAAGGCTTGAGTCTCACACAAGAATCAGAAATTACAAAAGAAATCCACATGTCAAAATCACAGAGAAAAAAATACTAACATGAAAAACCAAAATAACATATCCCCACCAAATACCAATAGTCCTCTAGATGAATACAGTGAA